TGAAATGTTTGGCAGTTGTGAGTTACTAAGAGAATGAGATAAAAAATCAAATAAGCTTACTCTATCTGCTGTTTCAAAATGGTAAGATTTTTCGGATTCGCTATCAAGATATTCAAAGATCTACATTTAAATTTAAAGAAAGCTTGACATGATGTGAAACGCAAAAATCGCTGACGTCAAATGTCTCAAAACTAAACAGATAGAAATGTGTAATTCTGAGGTAGCGTTATGGTCGATCAGCAGCAGACCAAAGAAAATGTTGCATCACATTGGAGCCATCACAAACAAACAAATAAATCAGGAACAAGAATTTACACATTATGATGTTGTCAAGTATCCCCCCCCCCTACCAATCCCCCGGCCCTTTATTTGACTCCAAATTGGTGTGCTCCAGTGTGTACCGAAATTGCATCAGAGTGTTAAGATCTAATATTATAATATACGAGTAAGTATGTGGTTAATACTCATACTCCGCGGTCTATAAAAGTAGTTGGCGAAGAGCAGGACGTATTAATGATTATGATTCATTTTCTACATTAGTCCTTGGGGTTTGAGTAAAAGAAAGTGCTCCGATTTAGACAGTGGGTGGTTGACGGTGCACCAGTGTGGTTTACCTCTTCTTTCCTAACATGTAACAAACATCTATCGTCCTTATCTCTCCTCCATCTTGTTTGTGTTGTTACTCTCTAATCTTCGGTATTTATATGTGAGGCAACGCGGTGGAATCAGGCTCTCATCAAAATAATCAAAGTGAAGAAACTGGCATTTTTCCGCAGGTTTCTGAAATTTTATCGAATTTTTGGTTTTTGGCTCTACACCTTTCATGCCCGTTAAAGAACTAATTTCTGTGTGGAATTGACCGAAAAACGTGAAGGCACAAAAAATGTAAATTTTCAGTTACCACGCACTCATGAGCTCAGGAAATAACCAACTTTCGGCGGCTAATTTCTCACAAATTTTACCTCTGAAACCAGGTGGCCCCACCTCCTTCATTTGCAAATATCTTGACTTGTGTTGAAGATAAATTGATATTTTTTTCAAACAAACACAGACAAGTAAAAAAGCTTTAAGATGATACCAATAACTCTACATGCACAAAAATTGACGAGAGCCTGATTCCACCGCGTTGTGACACATATGGCCTAATTAATTGCGTTGCATGCGCTGTAGAACGCTTACTATATTATTGCAAGATTTTGATCTAGACAGTTTAGCGAAGTGTTTAAAAAAAATCGTTTCTGGTGTTATCTAAAATGTTTAACTTTGTATTGGACATGTATGGTTTAACACACAGGCTCTGTGTGTTTTTGATTAGGCTCGATCGTTTCTCATGTGATAGAAAACATTAAGAACGAATAATTTCATTGGAGCTTCTACAAGGGCTCTGATCGAAGGCAAAAAACATGAACAACAAAAAAGCAAAACCCAAAAATGTTTGGAAGATTAAGTTGTGTTTTGCTTTACGTTAATTTTGTTGTTATGGTCATACATAATTCTATGTAAACGTCACGTCTGACGATACTGCTGCTGGTGTTGTTCGCGCGCGCGTGTGAGAGAAAGAGAGAGAGAGAGAG